AGCTTCTAACACATTGGAAATAACTTAAATTAGTATATACTAATTTAATAAATAAAACAATGATTTTAGTACCAGCTATTGTATTTAGTTCAGACAGAGAACAGAAGAAAAAAATGGCGCAGACTCTTTAAAATATATTTAAATAAAATTAAAAATTTACAATGGCGATATTCATGTCAAAATGTAGTTAGGGACTTTCTATAGCCATAGTGGTTTAGGTGCTAATTTATTATCACTTACTCCTAGTGCTGTTGTTTTGAACCCCAATAGGGAAACTAAATTAATTCAGGTCAGGAAGCTATCCATCTAGCTTACAGAAGGGCAGTCCTTCAACTCAGGTGCCTACTCATGCCTAAAATAATGCACAGAGGGAAATATGAGATCTTACTACACCAGAAAAGCTTCAAAGTCTAAATAATTATGATCTTTACAGGGTCTGTATCACATAAACTTCCACCTCACCCAAAAAGTTGATAAAGGAATGAAAAAGTAGTTAGACTAAACTAATATTAATAGTAAATACATATGAAGGTAATGAAAACAACTAGTTCAAAAACATTTTCTGCTATATTAGAAAACACCCAACATTTTTACAAGAAAAAGTAAATAAAAATAAATTAAATGTATAATTAAAAATCATTAAATAACATGTATACAAGACAATAATATGTAACAAAATTCACTTTTTTAACAAAGCTTTTGAACCCTTATATAATGATACTCTATTCTAATGTAACTTATAATAATCATTATTTATGTACCACTACCAGTATATGTGTACATTTGTACATGCATAAAATTTATTTCTTTAAACATTTAACATGAACCCCCTACATGTATATGTATCATAAATGTAACTATAACCTGAATTAAACACAATGTTCATAACCTAGGCATACATGTAGATAAAAAAAATCACTGACACCTTTTTCAACAAAATACTTATGAACCCCTATATGTACATAAAATTTTACTATAGCAAAAACAATATTTAAAAGATTTGGAATGAACTTAACACATAAATACCTAGAGTGGTCATACAAATTTCACCATATTTCATCTTAGCATTTTCTCGAGACAGTCAAAGAATGAAAAAAAGCACAACTTAAGTTGTGCAACCCTTAATTGAGCATGTCCTTTAATAGTGTTTCTAAAGGATCTATCTAATAATCTTTAATTTGTTTATTAAAGCACTTAGAGACAAAAGGGCAAATATATTCTCAGGCCTATGTCACTTTTACATGTATATCATAATTATGATGTGTCAGCATTTTTTGCGTAGCTTGACAATACTTGTACAGTAATTTCAAATTTTTCTAAATTATCACTTTTTATTTTGACACTCATTTAATTGATAACATACACTTCCAAATCATGAAAAACTTCTCAGGTACTTAAATCCATTTTGCAAAAAGGTAAATCTTCTCTCCAATTTATCTAAAGACCACATTTTTTTAAGAATTAACATCTTCCATATACCAGGATCCAGAAGTTTCTACTGAAGGTTCCACCACGATCAATAACTGAGTTTTCTCATCTTTCAATCTTTCATTTAAGAAGTCAACTGCCGCCTGTCTCTCCCCGAGTTTTATAGGCTTATCTAGTTTAGAATCTAGATTGTAGAAGGCTCCTTGTACTTCCCGTATTACATACCAATGTTTGAAGTCAAATGGAATCTTGACAAAGCCAAGTTTATAGTCTGATGGAACATTGAGAATGACACCTTTAACTTTGCTGAAATCTACCTTTTCTACTTTCCTGAAGAAAAACAAGAAAATATGTTTTTAGAATTAAATTGTAAGCACAAAACTAGTAGTAATAAAGACACATTGTGCCTCAGAAAAGAATAAATTTTTACTCCTTTAGAAACATGATATTTATAATGTTTAAATAACGGTTTTAGAGCATATTAGGTCCTTTTACCTGAAGTAGGCTAAATATGAAATAATTTGTCAAAAAAGTAGTAAAATGTAAACAAAGTAGTATTTTGACTTCTATACAAAATACTTAACCACTATAACTTTACTTTTTGCTAGAAAAAAACAACAACAGAAGAATAGATTGCCCACTCTCAATCCATGTTGCCTGATAATGGTTGTCACAGTTTTTGAGTCACTTGGAAATTTTCCTAGAATGATGAATGGTTTTGTCTAGAATGAAAGGTTGACAAGTCCATTTAAGATATTTCGTGGGGTAAGGGTTAAGATATGACCATCATGGATGATGCAGTCAGATTTGTACTTAGCACTTGCAGTTCAACAAATATTCCTCATTTCTGTATAAGTAATAACGCTGCACTCCACTTGAAACTGACAACTTCTCCAATCTCCAAATACATTATTCAAAACATCTTGAGAAAACTGTAATACACAAGATTCTTTTGTTTTGGACCATTGTCATAAGCAAAATGCTCAAGCTCAAATCAAACATCTAAAGACCTGCGCTTTCCAGAAAGTTTTTGTTTTAAAATAGATACATGTAATTTAAAAGACGCTTACTTTCTTCTATCAAACCATATCAGACATAGATCCTTGGTTTGTAAAGCAGCTGTCAATACATTAACGTCATAGTTACCAAGGCCAAGCATATTACGATGAGGGTTCATAAACCTTGAAGGCGTCAAACTGTAAATATAAAATTGACAAGTGAAAGAAATATGATACTTATTTAAAATTGTAACAAATGTGTGTAATTGTCTGTCAGTTAAAAATCATATATAATACCTAAAGAATTTAACCTTAAGCAACAGATTTTTTCCTATATGACCAGTGCAGACCAATTTCAGACAGCATATCTGTACCATCTGATCTTACTCTACCATGTTCATTATTCAGTCAGTCAGTATATACATTTATCAAATAAACCACGGCACAGGAGTGTAATAAAGCCAATTAATAAAAATGATATTACACTAGACGATATTACACTAGTGAAATAACACTTTGACATGACGTAATTTGCACTATAAACATAGTGTTAAAGCGCGCTAATGTTTGCGTTACACTGTAGGCGCATCAAAGAAAAATGACTCTTGTTAACAGTTTACCGTTCTTATATACATAATAAACAGAATATTTTATTTGTATAGATTCAATACTAAATTTATTGAACTAGTTGAATAAATTTAGTATTAAACCTACACTCATTCAATATCCTCTATGTACTTTATTTATTCATGAATTTGAATCAATTTTGGACATTATTTATAAACACTCATGAAAAAAATTGACTTGATGACTAATTCAAATTTGACATTGACCTGTGAATGACCTTGACCATCAATGTTGAATATAAAATTTGAATTATATTCTGTACAGGAAGTATTCTTTTCTACAATTTTCTACCTCTGCTGATGTGTTTGACTTTAGAAATAAGAACTTGGCACCCACTAGGTGTGTTGGCTCTTGTTTAAACATCACCTTATTATATTTTACAATATTATTGATTTAACACTTGACATTTATGAAAAAAATGTGCAAGGTATATGCCTCTGTGACAGGCAAATGATATTGGGGGGGGGGGGGGGGGGGTGATGGAGGAAAGAACTAGACACGGGTGCCCCCACCGCGCCACTGTTCTGTCAATCTTTTTACTAAGTCAAGGGAAATTACTCTACAAATACTGGATAAATCCACAAGCAAAACCCCAGGTGCAAATCTAAAATATGCTGAGCAACCTGCCTATAAGGTTAAATGACTATGTCAAATCCTTTTTGAGAAACTTGCGACACAAGTTGAAAACTGCAAAACTTTTCTAAGTGAAGGGCAATAACTCTAAAAATACTAAATAAATCCAGACGAAAATACCCAGGTGCACAACTACACATGCTGATCAACATTCCTGTAAAGTTTCATGACTCTAGGTCAAATACTTTTTGAGTTACGTGCGACACAAGTTGAAAATTGCAAAATTTTACTAAGTCAAGGGCAATTACTCTGAAAATACTAAAAATATCCACACGAAAATACCCAGGTGCACAACTACACATGCTGATCAACATTCCTGTAAAGTTTCATGACTCTAGGTCAAATACTTTTTGAGTTACGTGCGACACAAGTTGAAAATTGCAAAATTTTACTAAGTCAAGGGCAATAACTCTGAAAATACTAAATATATCCAGACGAAAATACCCAGGTGCACAACTACACATGCTGATCAACATTCCTGTAAAGTTTCATGACTCTAGGTCAAATACTTTTTGAGTTACATGCGACACAAGTTGAAAATTGCAAAATTTTACTAAGTCAAGGGCAATAACTCTGAAAATACTAAATATATCCAGACGAAAATACCCAGGTGCACAACTACACATGCTGATCAACATTCCTGTAAAGTTTCATGACTCTAGGTCAAATACTTTTTGAGTTACATGCGACACAAGTTGAAAATTGCAAAATTTTACTAAGTCAAGGGCAATAACTCTGAAAATAATGAAAATTTCCAAACGAAAATACCCAGGTGCACAACTACACATGCTGATCAACATTCCTGTAAAGTTTCATGACTCTAGGTCAAATACTTTTTGAGTTACATGCGACACAAGTTGAAAATTGCAAAATTTTACTAAGTCAAGGGCAATAACTCTGAAAATAATGAAAATTTCCAAACGAAAATACCCAGGTGCACAACTACACATGCTGATCAACATTCCTGTAAAGTTTAATGACTCTAGGTCAAATACTTTTTGAGTTACATGCGACACAAGTTGAAAATTGCAAAATTTTACTAAGTGAAGGGCAATAACTCTAAAAATACTTAAAATATCCAGACGAAAATACCCAGGTGCACAACTACACATGCTGATCAACATTCCTGTAAAGTTTCATGACTCTAGGTCAAATACTTTTTGAGTTACGTGCGACACAAAAGTGAACGGACGGACGGACGGACGGAAGGACGGACGGAAGGACGGACGGACGGACGGATGGACAAGGGTAAATCTAAATGCCCGCCACTAACGTGGGGGCACAAAAAAGTGCCCTATGGACAACTTTGTATAGGTAAACTTGAACATTAACTGTAAGGGCCGGAAAGCTCTGTCGGTAGAACCGCAGAAAGGTATTCCATGGGTCCCAGGTTCAATCCCGGCAAGGCTGTACATTTTTCTCAGCCTGTGACAATAATACTGACAGATAACTTGAAACAGAGAGTTGAAATAAATTGGCTTAAATTTACCACAAGAAAATGTGAGGGCTCATCTAGTTTTGTAGCTTAATTAAAAGAAGTACATCTTACAAATAACATAGGTCTGACTTAGTTTGCCCCTTTGTATTGTCCAAAATAGCCCTGCTCAGGGTTCAGCTTAGTTACATTGACATTTTTAGGAAACCTGAGCTTTAAAATTTTGTACTTAGAATCTAAACTGCTGAGAGCCTGGATAATATGCTAACATAGACTTATATGGCAATGGTTGTCTAAAACCATATGCTTTAGAGATTAAATATTTAACATGAATCATTGGCTAGTGTTACCTCTTTAAAAGTTGAAGAAATCATATTCCTGTGATCCAAATTTATCCCAGTTTAATAACCTACTTTAGTAGCATTTAAGAATTGTGACCTTGTCTAGAGATGGATACCAGTGAGCGATATAGGATCATTATGGCCCTCTTGTATTTTCATGTACATTCTGCAGGTGACATCTACATTATTCTTATTGACTCAAGACAATGGCAGCTGCTGACTGCATTAAACAGGGTCATGTTATATAGAGGGTACATTAATAAATAAAAACAAAACTATGTATACAGGGTGTATTTTTTTATATATATAACAAGACTTTTAATAAATAATTATTGCCAGCAATAAAAAAGTAAATATATACAATGTTCATATATAGGTGACAGCTAAAACAGTTTAACCTACTGTGTAAAAAAAGCTTGGAAAAAACTCATGTTATTAACAAAAATTTGAAAACCATTTTCATGAGCATTAGTCCTCTTAGAGGCTCTTATCTCTCAAATGTAAAATCAGATTTTCAAAGTCATTAAAGTTTCAATTTAACATGATTAATGTTATTTCAAAATAATATGTGATAAAAAGAATGATGACAAGTCTGTATTTTAACATATGAATAAGTCTGATAGAGACAATCAGTATATGATCATTGATAATGATACTTCATACTGTCTGTTTTGACTCCATTTCATAGTCCAGCCAATATGTTGGAAAGAAGCTTACATATATGGAAGTTTGCTGCATTGTTTCTTGGTCTTAGTTGAAGAGAAAGCATGTAGCATTTTAATGCTTGTTGAGGTCTGTTTTCTTGTTCCATACATTGTCCTAAAATGTTGAGAGCTGTTTCTCTATGTTGAAGGTTTGTATCAGTTACTATGGTTATTGTAAGATTATTTAGAGCTTGTTGTTGATCTTGATGCTTTTGTAGATAACTGTAGATCTTGTATTGTAGGAAGTATAGGAAAGGTATAGAATCAACTACAGCCCAGTCCATCCAACAGTCTGTTCTTTCATCCCTGTGTATCATATCATCTTGCGTAGATCTGAACATTTCATATTGTAGTTCATGAGGAACACAGTTGATCTCTTCCTGTATGAATCTGACGCAAAATGCTGTAATATTTTTAATACAGTCCTCACTTTGTTCATTACATACCCTCATGAATTCTGCTGTTACTGCTCCTGGAAGCTTTTCCGAGCATCTGCAGATCGGTATGACAGGATAAGAGTTATATTGTTGTTCTGTGTGTCTCAGAATTAGATCAGCTTTCTCCATTTCTTCTGTACAGTAGAACACTGAAGCCAATTTAATTCTGCTAGATGTAATATCCGAGTTTAAACCAGCAGATAACCAAGCCAATGCTTGAGGTGACACTTGATTATTTTCACCAATGCTTGATGATGCTAGGATAGATCCGTAGGTGGTAAAAAGAAAAGGTGCCAGAAGCTTCAATGCAGCATTTTCTAATCTATTACCATTATCACTTAAGATCATTAGTTTACCTACAGATTGTTTTATTGTTCTAATGTTTTTATTACATAAATGTTTTAAAACAAGCTTATGCTCTCCAGTTATCTTGTTTGCAATATATATATATTCACAGGTCAAAAAAAGTTCATATAATGCAAGAGAAGAAGGAAAATTGTGAACTCCATGTGGTACCCTGTTCAGTTTAACTTGGAGTCTATGACCAAGATTATCAATATCAATACTAAGTAACTGGTGTCTATCATTCTGTATCAGTTCACATATATTTTTGGAAAGTTCATGCTTTGTGTCAGCTGTAAATTGCCATGCCATCAAATTATTTTCTGCTATAATGAAATGTGAACAACAGTCATTCTGTACACAACTGTGTAATTCCAATAAGCAGTATGTTAAACATGTAAATAAATTGTTATCTTTCCATGTACTTTGGTCAGTGTTTTCTATACAATGTAATAGAACTGTTTTACACATGAAACTTGATATATTGATTTCATCTTGAGGATTAAGGAAGGATTTAAGGATCATTTTCAATAACACATAGCACCTTATTTGTGTTATATTTAAATTAATCATAAGACATCTTTCTGCCATTGTTGTAGATATTCTCCATTCCAGTTCACGATATTCACTGACCTTACTCCCAGTTGGTACAACAACACACCCAGTACTGGCTGCATATCTTCTCATCTCTTGTGTTGGCCATCTGCCGATACCCTGTCTCTCTAACCAACCTGATGCTAATTGAGGCCATGATTTACAGGGTAATGCAAGCACATTGTCTCTTTCACAGAATCCATGTTGTCTTTGTTCTACTAAAGATGGTCCATGCTGCTGGTAAGGGCCCTGAAGGAAAGCATTTAATACCATTGTGTTTTTAAATAATATATTTCCTCTTCTATCAGAAATATGGTGTTCACCAGGAATGACAGTTGCAGGAAGAGGTTCATCATGTCTGAGTCGTTGTAAGAAACAATACCCGGGAGTAGTGTTCTCATCCTGTACCATTATGTAGTTAAACTTGCCATATTCCCATTCTGACCAGTCTTGTATTATATTGAAATCATGGGAACAGTACAGTATATCAAGGTCTGAATCAAGTCCTTGAGTAGTTGTTCCTTCACTCTGACTCCCCAGATCAATATTCAGTTATATTTTGATCAGTTAGCCTGCACCTGATATTACTCAGAGCCTCATTCAGCAATTTTGTTTTTCTCCTTCTCATCACAATTCTTTCATTGACCCCAATGTCATGTAAAACCTCTGATAAAATCAAAGATAGGTTTTCTCTGTAGTCAGGTTCTTGAAACATTCTGAAATAAATATTAAGTTAAAGGAATTTTTTTTTCAGTCAGTCACCAGATTTATTTTGTCACAATCATACTTCTACTTGTTACTTATATGTACTTCATGTCCTATAACAGAACAGAACCGGAGAGCCAATCTGGACTTTAGGAAACATAATACTAATCTTCCTCTATTGGCTATGAATGCAACAGTGAAGGGAAACAACTCACTTTTTCTAAAATTCTTGCACTTTATTTTTTTAAATTATGTCCCTTAAAAATATGTATAACACCACAATATATTTTAAAAATACATGATAATATTAAAGTTTATTTTGTATATTGCTATTAAACTGACTGGATTGCTAAAAGAGAGACACTAAACTGAAAACACTTTCTGAAATATTCCATGAAATTTTTTTTTTTCTTCACATAATTCATTCTATATAAATGAGAAATTGTGTATTTAGAATAAAGTTTAAAACTTACTTTTAATGTTGGATTTATTTAATATTTCATAAAAAAATGTCTTTCCATTTCACCAGGTAGTTGGAATTTTTTCAATTTTAACTTCCTCTTTTGGTTTTGAATGGAATTATGAAGGGAAATAACTCAATTCCGCCTCCTAATAGTTATGAGATGAATTACGTCCCTTTTAGATTTTTTATATCCTGTCCATGTATTCTAAAAATATGATTATATGAGGCTTAATTATTTATTTTTAAGTAATATAGAATGTATTAAAACATACATTTTTTAAAGAAAAACATAATTATATTATTTTAAGTAGGAAACAACACTTACTGTGAGTGATAGATTCTCTATTCAAATGCAGATTTGCAAATTTGACAAAAAAAGTCATCATCACTTTCTGCATAATTTGAATTGTTTATATCAATTTCCTGTAATTTTTTTGTACATTTTTACATTGTATGTACATTGAATGTGTAGCCTTTGGTTCTATGATATCACGGTACTTAACATTTATTGGAAAATATTAAAATATAAATATCATATATGAATGAGATTTTTCTTCTATCTAATAAGTGAACCTTTTCCAAAACTGTTTGTCAAAAAATTATTTCAAAAGATCCAATTAAAATGACATTTTTTAAACTATTTCCGATGTCTGCCATTCCAGAGGAGGTTACTATGGTATCACAGTAATCCCCCCAAAATGCAAGTATGGAAGGATAAATGGGTCAAAATCTTCAAGTTAAGTTGTGAAAAACTTCCAACAGATAACTTGCTATAAAATTCAAACTATATGAACAGACGATATGTCATAATGTATATGTGATTATAACATATTTTAATTGACTGTGTAAAAACAATTAAGGGAAATAGTAGTCAAATATGAAGATTTTATAAAATAGTTTTCTTGCCATGAATACATTCATTATTCACAAAATTAAATTTATTGGCAAATGAAAATGAATTAAGTGTGCCAGTTTTAAAAACATTAGCATCATTGTGTGTTGCTTTTACTAGCAGTCACAGAAAATATAAATACTGTGATATCATAGAACCAGTGATATCATAGGAACCGAGTATACTGAAAAACAAAAAACATTTTCAAAACATAATAATCTATTCAAATAATGTTTTTCTTAATGTAATTGTAAATGTAACAATTATTCATGGTGTTTTGATGAATTATAGACTTTAAAATTGGGACTCTAAGCAGTTTCAATATAAGCACATGGTTCCCTCACGGAAAAGAAGTTACGTGAAGGTTGTATTTTTGTATAATTTACTTGGTATGACAAATCCTTAAAAATCTGTCTAGTTATGGTCATGCTGAGTACAGTTTTCAAGTAAGTGGAAATAGATAAAGCAATGAACGGAATATTTGTAAAACTATTATTAATGATCATTTTCAGTACAGGTATGATTTTTTTTTTCTATTTGACTACTGTAAAAAAGAGGAATGAAGTGGTAACAGGATTGACATAACTAGTAACATACATGTGATTTATTTATTTTGTTGGGTTTAACCTCCCACCGTCACAATATTAGGCCAAATGGCACTTGCGTATACGTTAATCAATGATAAATGAATATATGTGTATACATGGTATGGGCATAACATTAGAAACACAATTTCTATTCCCGAGGAATATGAATGTGATCATATGTATTACCATGCTTGCACACTGTACTTCCTTCCAATGTGCTATGTCAGTGTATTAAGTTTGGAGTAAATCCCTCAAGTACCTTTGGAGTTATGTTCTGGACAAAACTTTAAGTAAATCTTATAAAGGGGAACAACTCATTAAAAGACAAGAATGAGTTATTCTTCTTGAATACTGTACTTCTTACCAATGTGCTGTTAGTATATTAAGTTTGAAGTTTGAAGAAAATGCCTCAAGAACAAGTTATGATTCAAAGTGTTTCAAGAAAATCAGATAAAGGGAGGAAAGGTAGCTATTGTTCTTAAACAATGCACTTCCTTCCCATGTGCTCATGTGTCAGTGTATGAAGTTTAAAGAAAATTTCGGCAATAATTTTGGAGTTACACTCTGGAAAAATTGAGACAGATGCACAGATAGAGACCATTTCTAATATCCCCTTCGCCTTTGGCGGAGGGGATAAAAAATTATGCAAGCAATAGTATATACAAACAGTCAAGTTAAGCACAATAATTAGATATATTGACTATATTCTGTGATAGTTTTCTTTGGGTCAGTCAGACAAAATAATAATATCTACTTTGTATATTGCCCAAAAAATATCACAATACTTTTTTTTCACTCAGAGAACTGCACATACAGCACCAAAGACCACAACAAATTTAACCATACTGATGGCTTAGGTGTGACATTTTTTTTAGATTATGAGATAGAAATACCTGGTACAAATGTCATCAAGAAATTTTTGTGTAAAAGCATCTTTCTCCTGGAATAGGTTGTTTAAAACATGGAGGGCACACAGTTGTTTTCTCTGTCTCTCATGGTAAACTGTCCCATTGTCCCCCATAACTTTAACTGTAATAAGAAATTAAAACAACATCGATGACAGACATCACCACCCTGACTCACGAGTCAAATCATTTAAGATCATTCAGGCTAATTTTCAATATCTTCCCACATATTTTGAATTGTTTTGTTTTAAAGATATACTAAGCTCAAATTTAATTTAATAAGATAATATTGAAAAATACTACTGTACACAGTTTTTTTGTAAATATAAAATAAACATGTTTTGACTTCACATAAAGTAGATAATTGTTATGTTTAAAATTCTGTAACACACTTAGTATAATATGTGGTTACAATATGAATATATAGCGTCATTAAAAAAATTCATTAACTGGCAAGAAAAGACTGACTTTACTGAACCTGTAATAGGGAACACAGATTCCAATACATAGTTTATTCATTCTTTTATTCAAATTAAACATATTAAGTAAGATTTTCAGAGATTTAAAATTTTAAATGAATTTGAATTTCTGTGATAAAAATATTTTATTAACGAATGAGCATTATCTTTAATTATTTTGCTCACATATTTTGCTTTTCTAATTTGCTATGTCACTAGTAAGATTAAATTGTAAACGATTTCTTATAAACATTTCATCTTTCTATCTGCTAATGTAAAACCCCAGTCACTAATTTGTAGCAGATGCTTATAATCCCACATTCATGAACTATAGTAACTTGTAAGAAGACCAACAACTATTGAGCTTAGATTTGTTAATCCAAATCTAACCCTGTCTTACGTAGGTAAAAATGTAGTGCAAGTTTCACTAAAGTTATCCCTGTTTCTCATATTCTCGGGATAGTCTTTTGTTTGTTTGTTTGTTTGTTTGTTTATTTATTTATTTATTTATTTATTTATTTATTTATTTATTTATTTATTTATCTAGACTATTCATCCATTTATCAATTCTAATAAGCATTGTTTTTATAGCTATTTTTTATTATCATTACCATTCCCAATTTTATATTATGTTGCAACTGTTATACTGCCTTACAGTAGGCTACCTTTTCAATATTTTATTTTCAATTTCATAAACTTACCTTCCTAAAAGAGATGCTGTGTTAAAAATAAATGCAGAAAATATGGTTAAACATAAAAACATATAAAACACATAAATAAAATTAAAACACATAATGCAAAAATAGTTCTTACGTTTTATATAAATTTAATCAACTCGCGATGCGAATACTTTAAAACTACGTGCCTCACTAAGTACGAATCCAATCGCATATGATAACATCCGTCTAGTCGGTAACAATACCGTGCAATGCGTCATAAAAGTAATATAGGACATTTCGGACCAGACACTTCGTCATAAATTATCAACTAACAGATTCTTACAGTTGAAAATGTAGATCGTGTATTTGCAGTCTGCATATGCTCAACAGCATATGAAGCCCAAGACCAACAACGTATACGTAGATAAATTTATGTAACAAATAGAAAATATCTTCGAAAATACTAATAATTCTGAAGCGGCTTTTAATTATGAATTAAGATTTTGTTTAGTTAATCATTGTGCATGAACAGTTTATTGATTCACGTGACTGTTATAAACTGAAAAGTATCACTTCGAGATTTGTAACTAAATTGGCCAAACAATATTATTTATGTTGAAAATTCCATGTCCCTGAAAGTTCAAAACGTTGGTCATTATAGGCAGCATTATATATGACAAATACTTTTTATCCCCTTACAGAGACTTTTATTATTTATTTATAATTAGATATAGCTCTGTGGCCTCTATAATTTGCTTGATTTTCAAAAAACGAACACTGGTCTTCCAGAACTTTCACTGACGATGCAGTATAAGTGATGATGCCATACCACGTCATTTGCAGCAAAAATAATAAATTTTATAGCGCCACGAAGTTGTTTATTTTGAACTAAAATAACTTAATTATAAGGTTGAATGAAATTGACCTTTTTAAAACTCTTTTTCATTGGTGGATTTTAATTTATGCATTACGTAGGCAGTAAACAACTTTCTATTGGCCGCTTATATATTTGGCGGTAAACTTTTTTGTCTCTTGCGCTTCTGCAATTTTTGTTCATTCCGTATTCGTTTGACAAGTAGATCACATAGTGAGATTCTATTTTATGATAAATTTCACTCTTCGTGGAATTTCCCGATTGAAATGTCATTGTGTAAAACAAGCTCAACCTATAACTCCTTTTATTCTTTCTAAGATTTACTTGACTTTGAATTTTAAAAATCCAGAAAACTTAGTTTTTTGGTGTTTATTTTTATTTGCATTTTTTCTGTTGGCACGAAAATCAAATTTGGCTTCAACTACACTTAAAGATTTAATTAATCATAAATATTTGATTAGGTCTGATGTTACTCGTTTTCATGGTAACTTAATAGTTACTATGAATTGGACCAAAACAATTCAGTTTGGAGAACGTCTTTTACAGACTCCTCTATTAAAGTTACCAGGCTCCTGTTTGTGTCCGGTTACTGCATATGATAACACGTTAAAGGTCATTCCTGGGAAATCTGCAGATGCTTTATTTCTTTTACCTAATGGTAAGCCGGTAACTTATTATTTATTTCAAAATAAATTGCGTCAGGTTGTAAATGATCTTGGGTTTGATTCATCATTATATTCCTCTCATTCATTTCGGCGTGGTTTTGCTACTCTTGCCTTTAAGAATAATATCAGTTCAGATGAAATTCAGATTCTTGGAGATTGGCATTCTGACGTTTATAAACGTTATATTTCACTATCCATTGAAGATAAGTGTAAAATTATGAAGGATATTTCTCATGTTTTTTATGTTTGATGTAAATATAGTCTTTAATAAACTGTTCTTTGTATGTTTTCAGAACATGTAGCTCATCCACCACTTCGAAAGCGTACAATTGTCTCAGACTCCATTGCCAAAAATGTGTCAGGTATTTGGGATACTCAAATAACAGCCTTTCCTGGAATTAATATTTCAAGGTTAAGTTTTCGTATTCCACAAGGTCAAGTTGATCTTAGATCTGCTTATATCATATTACATGTTGGTACCAATGATGTAACTGGCCCTCGTTCAGAAGATGAGATTATGTCATCTTTTAACGATTTGATTTCCAATGTTCGTCAACAATCTTCTGGAAGCATTATTGTATCTGCAATCATTCCACGCCCTATAGATTTTGATACAACTGGTAATAGGGTTAAAAATTTAAACAATAAATTGGTACTATTATGCAAATCTAGAAATGTTACTTTCATTAGAACTTTCAAACCCTTTCTTAGGTGTGGCATGCCCCGTCGTGAGTATTATGCTATTAAAGACGGTGGTTTACATCTTAATCTAGAAGGTACCAGGCGTTTGAAAGATTTTTTCATTAATACCATTGCTCACTTAAAGTAATTACAACTTAGTGTTGGATGAGCGCTACATGTTTACTGAAAGTTTCAATCTTTGTATTGCTAGACAGCTTGTTAAGTGAAATGTGTGATTTGTAATTATTATAAACTTTAGAATATACATTCATAAGATAGTGTCATGTTCTAATGTCATTATGTCCTTGCTTGAGACACACTGTTTCTCAAGAAAGGCTCAGTCTCGTAAGCTGGTAATGACCAGTCTTGGAGATTATGCTACTAAGGAGGTGGTATGAAAGCCTCTTAGTAGATTTGTTATAGTATATACACTTGTTCTAGAGTGTTTCATGATATTGAATATAATGCTTATATTCAAATATATACATTAGTTGATATATGTACTTTATGCTTTTGCTTGAGACACACTGTTTCTCAAGAAAGGCTCAGTCTCGTAAGCTGGTTATGACCAGTCTTGGAGATTATGCTACTAAAGAGGTGGTATGAAAGCCTCTTAGTAGATTTGTATGTATCTGAACTTATATTTGCTGATGTTTTGTATTTTGTAATGTTTTTGTTTGTATTTTTCATGGCCATGGGTGTGGCTGGATTATGAATATTACTTCTGTAATGATTAATGGATTGTCATATGGATAGACAAAGACATTTCTATTGAGTTTCATGATGAAACAAATTTTCTTATTTGTACTGGATAATAGAATCATTTAATATGAATGTGAAACATGTGATCTCAGATTACCTAATAATATTATATCAAGATCAAAATTTCTCTTGTGTTTTCTTTTAAATGAAAACTTATAATTACGCTGTTTTTTCAGGCTTTCATTCGTCTCGTCAGATGCAAATAAATACCATGTGTTTCTGTTAAATCCATAGTTTCCATTGGATGACACACTTTGTATATATTTTCTTAAAAACTGAGCAATTTTATGCCCCAAAAAGAAGTAATTGAACCAATTTTCCATCTAACAGTACATAACCAAACGTCCATATGTGCACGGATTTATATTTTGTAATATAAATCCGTGATATGTGTAAGGTAAGCCTTCTTGACGATAACAAACCTTTTACTTATAAAATATGTATGTATACAACAATAATCAAGCATACATTGTATATATATCTAAAAAATAGAGATAAAGCATCATGTAACCAGCTGCTCATTATTAAAAAGAAATTGCTATACTGTTGCTTATCATGCTAAGTGCATAAAAATTGTATTAAACAAGAAATGGGAGAAAACATTTTGCTTTTTAACCAGTAAATTATTGAGTTTCTTTAGCGTCGTCTCTGGGTCTTAAGATAAGTTCCTGGTCATGTACAATTGAAAGAGAGATAGGATAAGATAATCTTTATTCATAGTTGGTTACAATAAACATCTTACTCGGTCATTGTAAGTCCGGGATTTACAAGAACTATGCATTTTCTATCAATTCCAAAAGAAAGCAATTTAAGTAATTTGTTAAAGATTAAGAATGTCGTAAAGATCACATACTTTTTTTAATTTATTACAATCTAAAGACCAATTTAACTGGTTGTTTAGGCATATAATATGCATTAGAGGAAAACATAAAAGAAAACATAAACACAGTTGTCAAAGTTGTTCGAAGAAACTGACAAAATAGAAAATACAGCAAAAAAGAAAAAAAGAGAACATATATTTTAACAGTAACAGCTCTAGATACTCACCAGCCCCACATGACTGCCAGCCTAGCTGCCCAAGGTTATAAGAAAGAAATTTGTTTCTGATATTAATAATGGTATCAGAGTGATAGTAAGAAAAGTAAATGATGAACCAGCATTGTTTTGTCAATACTCACAACAGTAAGAAACTATTTGACAACGTCCATAATAACTTTACAAAACTTCTACTATCGTTAAAATGAACACATTCCACAAGATACATATTGAAACTCGTCACTTATTATTTTTTATCATAAAAAGTACATGTTCTTATATATCTGTCACAGAATACCAAAGTGCCGACCCTTTTCTATTGGTAGACAATGATTCCTTGTTTTAAATTTACATAAAATTTTAATTAAATTAATAGACAGGATACAAATAATTTTAAAGCAGAACCCAGTTTTGTACATGCAATATAGATTCAGAGTCAACTCGTCCTCTGGTCAACTCGTCCTCTGGTCAACTCGTCACCTTTTTGGTCAACTCGTCCCCTGGACAACTCGTCCTCTAGTCAACTCGTCCCCAACTCGTCCCTTATATTTTATTACTACTTGTTTTTCATATAGTTCATAAATCATTATAGACTGTTAAAATAATATATTATAAAATAACTGAATTGGACATATTTTGACGCTTTTTGTATGCGAATATTTGGAGTTTCATCTTATAATAAGGATATATATGCATAATTCTGATTAAATTACATACAGAAAAAAACAACACGAAGACGATCAATAGCAATAACATTTAATGTATAAAAACATGTTTTATATGCAAAGATAAAATATCATATCGTATGTCTTTTTTGTCAATATTATGTCATACATGTATATATAGTCACTTTCACTTTCACACTTTCATTGGTTTTTTTTCCATGCACATATTTCATTGTCTTTTTTTTTTGGACATCTTACGACTCTACTCTTGGGGCTTGTATAAGTTGCCGAATTCTCTCAAAAGTCCCGTTGATGATAACTCCCCATTCCTGTACTTATCCCACAGCTGGTGCGTCTGTCCCTGAAGAAAGGTGTACTTTTTCCGCTGGTAGCGGCGTAGTCTTCCTTCACTTATTAATTCCGAGTTCCTCACCGCTACCTGGGCCTCATCGTACAGCAGTTTTATCAAAAGGTAGAATGGAGGCGTTCCCCCAGCCCTCCCATTCAATCTTCTATGCCATCCTATAAAATAATAGAAGTTTATTACAATACCAATAAGATAGGCACAGGTCAACTATAATAGATATATTTTTCTCTTTAATGCGGCGATGTATGTGTCCATGAATGCATTTCTCAAATTCGCTACAATTTTGGCTAAGACATATTTTTTTATGTATGAGAAGTATGACTGCTACCATGTATACAGTCTATTTCAAATATCTAATATTGTCATAATATTTTAAAATGTGATTTTACCTTCAATATCGTTGTTTGTGCGGATGCTCAATCCAAACACCGACCAAGAATGGACTGGCCACATATCATTGTCGATCCAGGTCCGTCTAATGTAAGCTAGCAGTCCATCAAAACGGTCTGGAGCTAAGTCTGCCATAGACTCGAACACAGGACCAATGTGTTCTGCAGGAAGGAATGGCAGACACAGAAGTTTTCTGATGAAGCGGTGTGCCCCTCGGTGACTGACATACTCGGCAGACAGGCCTTTTTCCTGTAAAAAAACAATTAGTTTCAGAATACGTTCAAGAAAGATAAAAAAAATACAATTAGTTTCAGAATATGTTCAAGAAAGATCTATAAAAATAAATTGGCAATATCAAAATATTTCAAAAAAAATATATGTATATTTCAATCATAATTATGGCTCTTTTATATGAATATATTTGATGTGACATCATCTTGTTTTTATTTAATTCTATACTTTTTTTAATATTGTTTGATTTAAATATGATTGTTTTCATTACCTGTACTTTCCTCCATACTGCTTGCCCCCAGTGGAAACTGCATCCGTGGATTTCTGCGTCCTCGAAAACGTGGCGTAATGCATTCCAAAGGGCTGCCTCAAAATCAACAACGAAGTCAACCACATTCACTTCGCGCTGTAACAAACGACCCAGTTTCTGAAATACGAACTAAAAATTAAATTTCCATTCCAAACATTCCCATATACAGTACACTGATACAAATATTGTACAACCAGCCGATATTGAGTATATATCGTAATGCAATTTAAGTTTTTATTTTATTATTCTGATTACCCTTTAATCTTGTACATGTCCAGGAACCGGATTGATATATGGATATTTTTTCAATTAAATAATAATTTATAGGCTATTTTTAATATTGAGTCTGTCGTACCTTAAGGACTGCGACGTAGTCTCTTGTGCGTCTGCTGCTCATGAGGACGTTAAACGAGAGGTAGTTGTTTCGCACAATCGCCGCTCCTTACGAAGGCATGGATAGAAAAAAGGCTTGTGAAAGGTTCCCTCACAACCTTAAATGTCCCATCGAGGTACCATCTCTTCGCTTTCTTTAACTTGTCGCACAAGAGCTGGGCACACATTGTTAACATTGCGCACGCTGCAGCGCCATGTAGAAGAAGTTTTTTTCCTACCCTGGATATATTTTGAATATAAATTCAATAATTGCATTTAAACATTATAATAAATGTTGTTATACCTAAGAATGGAAATCAATCATCTTTAAAATTTATCCATCAATGCGTAATTAATGATAATATATATATAGAGCGGACATATTTAAATGTATTCTACATTCTGTTATCTAATATTTAAATGCAGCATTAACTAACACTTTTCATATATCAATTTTTTAAATAAAAATAATGTATAAGTGTTATACCTAAGAATGGAAATCAATCATCTTTAAAATTTATCCATCAATGCGTAATTAATGATAATATATATATAGAGCGGACATGTATTCTACATTCTGTTATCTAATATTTAAATGCAGCATTAACTAACACTTTTCATAAATAAAAAAAAAATGTATAAGTGTTGTATATTTGATATCAAAAACTACCTTGAGGTTGTATGTGTATCCTCGTGAGTCCGTTAATATATCTTTACCCCTCTGTGAAGCACCTGTCAGTATTTCGTAAGTCACGGGCGTATCTTCGATTACAGAACCAAACAACACAGGACCCTCGCCGGAACTGAAAAGGAATAAAAATCGTTATACATAATATAATAACTGTCAGGATATGATAGGAAGTCTAAGTCACAGTATAAAAACATTCATTTTTGTCATGTACAAAGATAAGATAAGGTTATAATATAGAAAGAACGGTATTAGTAAATAATCTGATATTAGTTATTAGGTTTGTATACTTTGGAATTGCAAGACCATTTTTCTGTTAAAAATGAACATAAACATCACAAATGACTAACCTGTATTACAACTTCTGTGTTGCCAGTGTTCCTTCTATAATGAGATCAATACGCACCGACATAAAGTTTTTAGCGCTTCTAATTTCTGTTAATCTGTCGTCAGTCTTTAATCCATTCAGGGAGGCGTTAAAAATCAAAGAGTTGGACCTAATTTTAGTTTTGATTATCATTAAAACTCCGATTAATTAAACATTAATTGAATGTTTGTAAACTTACCTGTCTTTGTAGTTTGACATCAAAGCTATGCACGTGCGCTTAGATAAAGATCATTAAAATTTAACGTAAAAAAGACGTAATTATTTTATTAATATTTCGATATCAATCAAATTCAGTATTAATTTTACATATTTTACATAAAAGAATTATTTAAAGACATTTTAAAGAAAGAGATCGAAAGAAGGGGACGAGTTGACCATATTAGGGACGAGTTGACCAAAAGTAGGGGACGAGTTGACCAAAAAGGTGTCGAGTTGACCAGGGGACGAGTTGACCGGATTGCTGCAATATATACTAATCATTTTAGGTGAATTTAGATTGTAATGTACCATTCCTTAACAAATTGATCCTCTAGTCTCAACTTAACAGCATTCCTTAATTGGTTAAAGTAGACTGTCAAAACCGACATGCCCAAAATATCTAAAACGTGTTTAACAAAATGAATTCATGGAAAACAGTTAGAACGATAGTTCAGTCTACTGTATACAAAATTTTACATAATTATCTTGTCATCCTTTGAGCCCGGTAAATAACACTCTGTAACATTTCTAGCAACAGAGATTGGCTTAACACCCAATTATCCAAATGACATACAATCAGAAGCAGAACTTTTGAGATTCAAGCCAATTTTGAAATTTAAAATGTCCACAAGGCCCCAAACCACTAAAATTTATATAACATTCATACAGTTGATACAGAAATTAGACATGCGGGTCACGTGATCAGGAAAGAAAAATAGTCCAGACTCGTTCATTAGAAGTATGCAATTTTTGCCTTCAATTTTAATTGAAATTGTATCAAGCATTTGCCAATCGTTTTATTTAATGCTATTGTTATTGATGACATTTTACCACTTGCTTTTCTTTCGTTGATACAGCATTAATGTTTATTTTAAAGATGAGTAGTATTCGGATATACACAGGAAGAGTATTACATTTCTTGAAAAGTAGTATTGTGTAAAAATATGCAGCTAAAGTTATTAGATATATAGCTCTATAATGTATGTGGTGAGACGCTCAAATATTTTACAGGAAATGACGCAATAAACATATTGTTCAATGTTGTAACTTCATATAGTGTTCTTTTTAAGAAATAATCAAATATTGGGTCACACAACTGGTGTTGCAGTAAATACTCACATTGACAGTTTCTGTATAAACTACATAAATAACAGAGGTATATTGAGTGTCAAGACATAAGTTGTTTCCCATATCTTTGATTAAAATCGATATCTCTAATTCTAAAACAATACAAATTTTGCCATTTTTAAACAGCTAGTTAATTGCGATTTAAAAGTCCAATTTTATTTTATATTACACCAATGAAAAGCTTGTGATCCTAGCTTCATCTCAGTTAAATCAACATATCTTTTAGTATTAAAATTAAATGTTTAACCTACCACATGTCAGGCCATTTAACATACAATTTATACAGAGATATGCAACCAGTAATCTTTACTCGCAAAGTTACTGATAAGAAAAGCCTGTCAACTGTTAGTTCAAAAACTGTCAACTGCCTTGGGTATTGGTAGCTTGATAGCTCAGTTTGCTAGATCACTGACTGTCAGTACTGAAGTTCAGGGTTCGAACCAGGTTATAACCCTTGGGATTTTTCAGAGACACTGTCAGTGTTTCCCACATACCTAATGGTGTACTGGTAAGAAAAGAAATCTAGGTAATTCTTGCATACATGTATTAGTGATTTACATGTGTACTGACTGGGCATGTAAAAGAACCAAGGGGTCTATTCTAGAGCTGTCATTGATTCAGTCAAAGGCATATCGTCGATATATCGATATCGGATTGCAGACATCGACGATACACCGATATATCGATATATTTACCTGTATTTCACATCCATATTTGTATAAATTATTTTAGTAAAAAGAACACCTTCTTTACATGAGCTTTTGATGTGTTTTGTTCATGAATGTCCCCTGATCATATTTTGCATATATTTTTGCTATGAAATATTTAAATTATCAAAGAAATATAAAACAGAGTATTAATTGTGGTTATTCATTTACTGGCCTCTATCCATATCTATACACCATCACAATAAGCAGAACACTTCAATGACTATGGAATCACTATCTCACTTGACTATATACAGAGTTCAAACTTAAATGTATATTAACTAGAATGACTAGTTAACATGACTAGAGTAGAAAAACATAAATGTTTCATAAAAAAATTCAAATTTGTGCATAAGTTTTGCATGTAGATGTTAAATAATAGTGACTGTTACAAGTCATAAAGTATTGAAACTAATGACACTTGAACACAGTGGATACAAAAACACAGTTGATAATAAGGATGCAAAGGAATGTGATTTTGAAAATAAACATTTCTGGAAATAACTATAGTTTAATAGGAATTTATTATATTGAAATACAATTTTATTGACTTTTTATGACACTTTTTTAATTTTACTGTTCATACAGAACAAGGATTTGTCAAACCAGCTTTTACTTGACAAAGTTACAATAATAATTTATTTTATTTATATACATATTTATTTTGTATATGATAGGAATTTTACAAATTATTTTATTTTTAAGTAATAGCCTACTGATTATATTGTTTTTACAATCGGTGCTGGCACTTGACTGATGTTTAACCTTGCCACGATCAAGATGTGATCTCAAGTTAAATGTATTGCCGCTAAATGGCAGCCATACAACGAATCTAACTTGGGACTAATTTTGAGTTAACAACCCCCTTTTCATCAACAAACCCAAAATGTTCCCAAATGGGAATTGGCTTTGAAATTTTAGCCTTCTTTTTGTCCCAACAATTTTAATGTTTTCAGCCATTTTTAAGTGTTGCTAAGATATGGGCATAGACTAAAATGTAGACAATTGTAAATGATGAATCTGACAGATCAAGACAGTTTAAGTATAATGATAATTGATTTAGATCTATTGGATTTTTATTTTCAAATTATTTTTTAAAATTGGATTGTTTTGTATATATAATTTCCAACACAGAGAAATATGTTTTTTTCTGAAGTGTAAATACAGCTAGATCCATACAGTAGCTGTCCATTTAGTAGTCACGGTATAGTTTTAGACATGTCCTTTTGACAGGGCACCTGTTTCCGTTTATGTTTTGAGCTAATTTTCGTCATTTCCACAGGTACTGGAAACAAACTATTTTAATGTTCTGTATGGGCTATATACTGTAGTAATTTCTAGACTTTTAGTAATAAGTTAAAGTATCGATTTTCTAAAATTTGAATCGATAATCGATCGACAAAAAAATATCAATGATACATCGATATCGCTTCTATCGATGACAGCTCTAGTCTATTCAATAAGAGCTAGGGACTGGTTCCTGGATTCCCTTTGTATCTCATAGCTGTCTCTGCCTGGAGTCTGTTGAAGCTACTGGAAATAAATGCTTGCACTTTTGTAGGTTATCCTTGACCACCCAGTTTAAAGAAAGTCGATTCAAATTTAAACTTTAAAGCACTAATTGTAACTTTAATTTAGTTCACAAGCAGTATAAGATATTTGCTATAAGATTGGGAGATTTTTTACTTATCACATGTACAGATGTTAATGAATCATGCAGTAGTTATCAATAAATTCAACCCTTGCCTTCTGTGGTAACTTAAATTTCATTGGTGATAGGCAGTCATTGCTGTAACATAACACTGCTACATTTATTGTGATGATTGACTGCAATTAACACATTAAACAGAGCTCCAGATAATTAATTTGGCAAAGGGGCTCCTACCCTTCAAAATCTAGTGAGGGGTAAAATGCAAATTCTAAAAAATGTAAGGGGTAAAATCTGTAAAAAAAGCGTTTTGCATTTCTTTATAATAAACAAATTCAACTGATTTTTTTTCTTTCTTTTTTTTTCAGAAAA